TTCAGTTCCAGCATCCACGTGGTGGTGGACAAGCATGTGTAATTCAATTCCAGGGTACCCAAAGCCCTCTATGGGTCCAAATCACATGTGTTATTCACAAATACACGCAGGAAAAATATTCATATACATAAAAAATAAAACAAACTGTTCTAACACCATGTTCATTCTATCTGTCTGTTTATACATCATCTTTCATCTCTACCTATCTATCTTCTATCAATCTATCATCTATCTATTATCTATCATAAATCAATCAATCAATCTATCTCTATCACTTTTCAAGTTTATGTTACATAAAATGTAACATTAGGATAGTGTTCAATGTATTTATCTGATGAGCAGTCAAAGAATTTGGATATAGAAAACACTAAGCATATAAGCATTATTGAATCTTTTTCTCCATTTATAGTTTAGAAAATTGTTACTAAATGATTAGAGAAACAAATGTGTAATGAATTTTCATGTTCTGTCTACAGCACATCCATGTTCTTTCAAGGATACATTGTTGTAAATAGCTAAATATCAACAGGTATGGACATTTTTTGAAGTGTGTGTGTGTGTGTGTGTGTGTGTGTGTGTGTATGTGTGTGTCTTTTAGCAAGAAAGGGCTCCCATCCTTATCTCAAAATCCCATCGAAGTCATGGAGAAATGGAATTTTGATCTCTGTATTATCTTGTGTGACACAATGAACTATTTCCAAATGTCCTTGAGGAAGAGTCGCAATGGCTGACTTGTCGAAATCTAATTTTAGATGAATTACCAAACTTTTAAAAAGACAAGGAATGACAAAATTTAAAATTGTGATTAACAACTTTTATTCATGTCACTGTTACTGGTTGTAAATGTGGAAATTGAAGCCACCTGGTAAAGAGAAGCTATTGCTTTTACTCTCAGGGTCGTGCCATGTACAAACCTTCTCCTTCCTTTTCTTCTTCCTTCCTTCCATTCCTGACTTCCTCTGTCTCTCCCTGCCCTGCGTCTCTTTCCCTTCCTTGGCCCAGGCCCAGCCTCACGTCCTCTGTTTTCCACCTCTCTTCAGCCTGTCCCTCTCTTTCTCGTTAGCTTTAAGGTGAATTTACATTAGAGAGATTCCTGCTTTGGTGATGATGGTTACATCCAGATAATCCCAAAAGACTCTTTCTAGATGGATCTGCCAGGCCACTAAATCATACTTGATTGTCTTGTGAGTGAATGAATGATTGTCACAAGAACATTCCAAGGTATATGACAGAAGTTATATCCATTTTCAGTCTGTCTGTAAGGTTTCTCTAGAGGAACTGAACTGATAGAATTAATCTGTCTAAAGTGGATTTATTAGAGTGGCTAACAGGCTGTGGTCCAGTTGTCCAACAATGGCTGTCTACCAACAGCAAGTCTAAGAATCCAGTAGTTGTTCAGGCAATGAGGCCGATGTCATAGCTGGTCTTCAGTTTATGCTTAAAGCATAAAACAGGCTCTATGGCCAGTGACTTGCCAGAGAGGAGAGTGAGGGCAAGCAGGCAAAGAACAAGGAGCCTTCTTCTTCCTTGTCCCTTGTCTAGGCCACCAATAGAAGGTTGGCCCAGATTAAAGGTAAATCTTCCCACATAAAAAGAGCTGGATTAAAAGTAGGCCTTTCCATGTCAAAAAGCTGGATTAGGGAAAGGAAGGGAGAGTGGATTAGGGAGAGGAGAGGTAGGGAGCTGGGAGAACTGGAGGGAGGGGAACTGGGGTTAGATGTATTGTGTTAGAGAAGAATGTATTTTCAATAAAAAAATTCCCTCATAGGTGTACATAGCTGCTTGGGCTTCAGTTAATTCCAGTTGTAGTCGCGTTGATATCCAGGAACGGACATCACTGTCCTTTAAAAGAATCTCCAGTACACTGCAGACTGTAGCTCATCCTGACAACAGAACATTAAGGAGGCCTTGTCTTAGTCATTCACAAACTAGAAAGCTTTGTCACCACATTGCAAGAGCTGAATTGTGAGAAAACAACAAGTTTTGAGTATGAACACTGCTTCATTGTAATGTAGACATATACATTTTCAAAAAAAAAGACCCTACTAAAAATGTAATGAAAATACAAACTCAGTCTTCCTTCTTGTCGACATTTTGAGGCATATGACTGAAGATGTCCCAAACATGAGCCTAATTGTCTACCAACAAGAAGGACATATTTTCAGAAACAAATTTGATGCCCAAACTAAAAAAAGTCTGTTTTTCTCCACGTCAGCTCTGAGAGCAGGTGCTGCCTTCTCATTAATTAAGTCACAAGATGTTCCTTATGCTAAAATCTGAGCAAAGAGAACAGAAACAGAAACTGTGGTTTGTATGGATGCAATTTCTTCTATCTATCTATCTATCTATCTATCTATCTATCTATCTATCTATCTATCTATTTGAAATTACACAGAATGCCACATGTCCAGTTTGCAAGCTTGTTTTCCAGACCACCTTTTACAGGGGGACTTTGTGTGTGTAAGTTTTGTTTTGTTAAGGATAACAGCATAAAACAGTTTCAAGTCTCCACCAACTGTTTCTTAAGGATGCCATTAAAAATGAGTTATTGACCCTGCTTTTGCCAGGTGCTTGTCAGCTGTGTGCAGGGAGATGTGGGGTTTCTAGGCAACCATCATCTATATCAATGGAGCTGCTTAGAAAGCAACATGGGAGTTCTGTGGCCCTATTAGTATTTTTTAAGAACAATCAAGAAACCTTTGTTCTTTATTGTTACCCTGTTGCAGTCTTGAAGGATTATTTCTTAAGTCCCTTTTCTAAGCTAAATCCCATGCTCTCTTAGGAATTTCGTGGGCTTGCAGTGCTTGTTTAAACAGAGTTCTGAACTGCAGGAAGTATGAACATGGCCTTGGTTAGTGTGACGTTACCATTTTGAGTGTTAAAAAGGTCAAAATTAATGAAGCTTGCAAATTCCCAGTTTCACTAAGTAACTCCCTAGTGCTTTTAGAAGTCCACTTGAAAGTAAGGGGGAAAGCACTTGGGTGGACCACATATCTTCCTTTAGTTCTCACCAGCTCAGACTATGTGGGCTCTTCAGCCTAAGCAGCCAGTCAGCTCCTGCAATGGAGGCTTGCAATGTCCTCATCATTGTACTGGATGTGAGTGGAATCATGCTCTCTCATTGGTTGGTCCACGTGTCTTGCTGTTGATGCCTATTCACTAAGAGCAATGCAAAGATTTTATCCTTAATTCTTTTAATAAATGCCCCCCAATGCACTTACTTTTATTTTTTATTTAACAGAGCAGGTTCATGTAGTGATGTAGTCTTTATAGTATGTTTTTAAACCCCTTTCCACATGCCTCAGACTCCTGAGTGGTGGCTTGTGAGATAAACGAACAAGAGCCTTTAGAATAGAGAGACTGTGGTAGGTCAGATATGTGAATAACCTAGATTTTGGTTTGCCAGTTACTGAGAGATTGAATTATCAAAGCTCAAATATTGACAATTTATTGAATTCAACTGCTTTAACTTATTTTTTTTTTTTTTTTGAGCCAGGATCTTAGTATGTAGACTGCTCAGATCTTGAACTCACAGAGATCCACCTGCCTCTGCCTCCTGGGGGCAGGGAGTGAAGCTGTGTGCCACGGTGTCCCGCTGCTGGAAAGTGTGTCACATCTCATCACGTCGGGAAAGCATGGGCTGCAGTGAGTATGCCTTCGTTATTCGGTGGTCACCACCTCAGGCCACCTGACCTTGACTTGCTTACCAGGATTCTGAACCTTTCTCAGCATTTGAATTTTTATAGGCTTTGTATAAAGGACACTAAACCTCTATAGGTGCAGAAGCAGCTACCCTACAGATCATGGTTCACAATTCAGTGGGACTCTCTTCATTCCAGAAGAAGCAGGTCTGCTGTCGCTAGCATATTGATTTCAGTATTCGGACTATGGAGGTGTGTGGTTTTGGACTGTCCTGTTTACCTGGCTGTAACGCTTTTCCATCCCCTTCAATAGGGAATTAATGTGATCACTCCATACATACACAAAGTCATATTTTCCAAAACTTCAGGATTTGCATCACATTTGTATTTTGAGAACACAATATAACTATATTCCCCACATTGCACATAGGAAGGATTATTTAACTTCATGGGAGCATTGGATAATGAAAGGATGGCATATAACCAGTAGATACATAATAAATAAATAAATCTATAAATGGGTGTGCAAATCGGAACATATATGTAAATGTATGAGACATATCTCTCCCAGTCTGAGGATATTGCGGAGTGACACACTGGAGAGCTGTGCATTCCACATGTGGCCCTAACACTCCATTTTATAGAGAGGCTTGTGAGTGAATGGTGCCTTATGTAAATGCAGTACATGCAGGGGCCAGAAGATGGCGTCAGAGCTGTTGAAGCTGGAGTTAAGGCAGTTATGAGACATCTATTTGGGTGCAGGAAATCAAACTTGGATCCTCTGTAAGAGCAGCAGCAGGAGAAGGCTGGGCAGACTCTCCAACCTCAACATTCCAATTCATTTTGCGTGATCACATAGAGGCAGACTTAGGTAAGAGGGATTAAACCAATCACTTGTGGAATGGACTCATTTATATATTGTATTCACTAGCAGGCTTTGCTTCGGAAGAAAGATGTGTAAAAGAAGATGCCCTGAGAAGTGTGCATGCTCTCCATTGCATTCCACCCATCTCTTCTAAGAAGCCAGGCTGACTTGCACCAGCAGTTGGACTGTCAGTTTATACGATCATCAGATCTTGTCCCCAGGCTCTACCGCAGACAAGTACCATTTCAAGTAAAACTCTCAAGAATGATACATCTCCAGAAAGTTCTTTTTGGACGAATGTTGTGCATATTGTCAAACCTTTAGGGAATCCTAACCGATCCAGCATGGAGCCCCTGAGAGTCACAGCACTCCAGTTCTCACGGTGTGCTGCTATGCAGTGTGGGGAGACCCGAGGCGGGGGGGGGGGGGGCAGGCCTATGTCTCTGTTTCTCTTAGACTACAAGAGTTTAAAATAAGTCAAATACATATTTTAATTGATAAACTGACTTTATATTCACCTATTGGAAACAGTACAACATATTTTACATCAGATTATGAAATATGGATGTTTTACTAAAGACAGGAAGGGAGTTTCCCAGTCTTTAAAGTAAGTACATTTCAGAGGATCTTAAGGCAATACCATTTATCCATATTCATATTTATTGAAATACTGTACACCCACACACTTCAATAAATAGTTAGAAACCTGACCTCTTTTTTAAATCATTTCTGAATTTCAAAAAAAACTTTTATTGAAAAGATTAAATAGGTAACTCTCAGCTGTGTTACAAAGCTAAGCACAATGGGTAAATTAACAATTATCCAGTAATTCAATCTGTTATTGGTTGACTTTGATAGTTCATTTGCTTAGAGTGTTCAGACTTCACAGCCTGGGGTACTTCTCTATATGTGTGCAGTTTTGTCCTGAATTATTTGGGTAATTCTCAGCTCTCCAGTCTATTTTATAGACATAGCATAAATGTTATAAGAGGATAATTTTTCAGTGAAGTTATGAACCCTAAAGTGACTTTATGATGGAAATGCTTTCTCTCAAATCTCAGTGTCTGCACAACGCACTCAGTACTGTGGCCTGGGTTGTGCTGATGATGAAATCAATTCTGCCCAGCAGGACCTCAGGGCATAAAAGGACTTAGGTTTAGAGCACTGGCACAAACATTAGGCCATTTGCAGTTAAACCAAGAACGCAGCGCACAGGCTCAGAAATTCTGCCTCACCCCACCCCCTCCAATCCATCTCTGCTTCCTCAATCTTTTCTGTTTATCCCCCACTCTCCTTTTTCCTCTCCTCATTCTCTTTTCTCAATCACTTTTTTCTTTCCCTCTTTCTTTGAAAATTTAGGGGCAACAAAAGGAATCCCATAAATGGGTATTGTGGGAAACATAATGCTGAAATGAATAGCTAAAAAAAATTGTTATAGATCAAAGGATAAATTAACTTTATAAAACTGCTATTCTGAATTTGCAACAATCTTGTACAGTCAGGACTAATAAAATGGAGTAATCAGACATTTCAGATGCCCGTAAATGTAAAATCACCTACTTGAACATTATATGCACATTCACACAAAAAAGCAAATACTGTAGCCTTATTTGAACAATACTGAACTCATAAATACTCATGATTTCACTCTGTCCAGGCGCCTAAGGACTATGCTGCTGTAATACAGAAAAACATAGTGGATGCCTCCTCTATTAAAATGTCACTCAAGAAAGTCTCTTCTAACATAAAGGCAAATACGTGTAGCTACTGAGCTATGACTGTCCTTTGTCACACTCTATGGAAAAACACCAGACTCCACAGATTTGGAATCATGACAACACTTAGAACTAATCATTTGGTTCATCTGTATTTTATACCTCAGTTTACCTCACATGTACCCTACACACCTTACACAGAGGAGGCATGTTTAACTCTAGGGAAACAGTCACTGTATAATACGCATTCTCCATCTGCTTCTCTCCCCAAACAACAGTTCAGGTGGCCAACACTCCATGGTAGCACCGCTATCTCTAATAAGTAGGTTATTGTGGAGTGTGCTACTTTAAAGCTGCAATACAAAGAAACACATTTTGTTGTTTGCTCACTAATTCCACAAAGAACATTTTTAGTAACAAATCACCTAGAAATTTAATTGCCATAATTTTCAAAATTCACTTTTAATATATCAATCAAAATGACCTAAATTTATTACAGCTAGTAAATTTAATAGCATTATGCCACATTATTGCCGTTTCATGGGAAGACTATATATTTATGTCCCCTCACTTATGATTCATTTTCCTAATTAAAATTGATTTATGGTATTTTTTGGGTCTAAAGTTTGTTTAGAAGAAAAACCCCATAATTTTAAAGCCATCCTTCTAGGGAAAAACATGAACTATCTAAAATAATCATGGTAAAAGTTCTTGTGTGTAGTTTTAAGAGTAGGTCTTTAATTAGGGTGTGCAGAAGGTCACTGTAGCAACCTAGGCGTGCTGAAATTGGCAACTTCATCAGACCTGAAAAATGGCTTTCAAGGCTCTGGTCTTTCTTTGGTCAAAAGCAAGACCATGAGCCTATTCCTGTAATATAGTAGTTAGACTAACAGCATTTTCCTTCAAAAATGTAGTTTTGTTCTTTAAATAGAAAAAATGTAATATTCACAATCGTTTAGTGGTTAACATGTCCCATGACGCCCTCCTTCTGTGGGTATGTGTCCATTTGACTGCATCTCACGTGTCCTGTCAGATGCAGCGAAGCATGGTGAGTCTTCAGTTTGGGAATCGGCTCAAGTGGAAATGACTACCAAGATTTTGGTGAACGATTAGTTACTTCAGGGTTGATCTAGTGTGCATGGATGCACAATATTTGGAATTTTAAAGAACGTAACATGCATTCCTATCAACCGAATGACAGTCACTATGATGTCAAAGCAGACTGATCTGAGCACTCACGAACTCCCATCTAATGGTGATAGGACTGTGTCCCTGTAGAGAAGCCGAATTAGGACACTGACTTGAACAGTGCAGGAGACTGCTACATTACCTGGGGTCTCTTGAGCAGGGTGTGCTGTCCTCTGACTGGTTATGCCTTTCCACAACAGCACTAACATTTAACCTCAACTTCAACCATGTTATTAGATTGTTTTATCAAGAAAACTGAGATGCTGTGGGCAAAGTTCTCAGGCCCCATGAGTAATGATAAAACAGCTTCTTGGCCCTTAGAAATGAGGTGAAGTTTAGCTTAGTGGTGTAATTTGCTTTTGCTTCCAAATTGCAAAGTTTAGGAAAACATTATGTGTTTGTCAGAGACAAGGAGATTATTTTATGAAGGCACACCCATGCTGAACTTAGAAGGAGAAGCACAGCGAGTTATATTACAAGGCTCATTTCCAAAACCTGGATGTCATGCGAGCGGGGACGTCTAGGTATGTGTTATATTTTCAAGAAATGATCTGAAGGCAATATTGTTTGATTTTTTTTATCAAAAAAGAAAAAGAATGCTTCTTTGTAAATGTGGGTTGACTCTTATTGAAACCGGGCACGGGACCCTTGTATTGCAGCCTTAAAGAATCATGTGTTCACTGCAATATTTGTCATGTAAACTACAGCCGGAAGCCTAACAGACCACGACTGAATGCTTTTGAAAGTTGTAGATTACAAACATGAAATCACAATTAATATCCTCTAAAAGTAAGTTCAGAGCTTTCACATCTTAAAAAAGGACAATGTGCAGTGCTTCACAAGGTCGTGTGTCTAATCAAAAGGAGAGGAGAATGAAAGTATTTACACAACCAGTGATTCCACACACGGCGTCACCCGGTTACAGACAGCCGATTGTATCCCACGCTGCTTCAACCTAACTGCACGAGATTGGATCCAGCCATCAGCACACTCAGAGACTCCTTCAAAGCCTTCCATGGGTCTTTAGATTCATTGTAGGACAGCATTCTTCAGGTAGAATATACTGAGGACGGAGGATAGTGTCAACACCAGGCTCCAGCAGGAGAGAAGGTCGCAGGCACCCCCAGTGATTCCATACTGGGCTGTGCTTGGAGCTAGAAAGGAACAGAAAAGAGGCAGTGAAACAGAGTTCTCATCTTCTGGTATTCTTGGCAATACCCAAATGGCAGCTAGATGAAATGGGGGTGTTGCTTGGGACAGAAAGGGTTTTGCTCACAAGGCCTATTTAGATTAACCTTTTGAGGTCAGTTTTCTCAAGGGCAAAAGAGCAATGATGTAATCCACCTGGTGGAGCTGTGGTGTGAACTGGAGATGAAGCATATCATGCTGGACCCAGAAAAGGCCACTGACAATCTTACATGATCTGTAATTATTTGCATTCACCTGAAATGTTCACCTATGCATACATTTGTGAAGCTTTCATTGTTCAGCCAAATACTCCATTAAATGGTGAGAAAACAGACCTTCATTTCCAAAGACTTTGTTTTGCATGTGTGTATGTGAAGACATTTAAAAAATTGTACTACAATACCATACCACATTAGACTTGAATATGCAAATTTTACTGGTAGAAAAATTACATGAAGCTGCCTGGACAGGAGCGAATTGATTTCAAGAAGTTTTATTAAAGGGAAGTGCTCTTTAGATGCAGTGACAAACACAGTGACGGTATGAGTAAAGGCTACAGGCACAATGCTGGGGTATTGCTGGGTCATGAAATTGAAGGCTGAAGGAGTGGGACTGAAAATGCAGCTACGGGCAGGAAACAGGGTTTGTAATGAAAAGGGGTCACAACTTGACAAGAGCTTCCTACAGCCAAATGTATACATTAGGGATGGATAGGTTGCCGAGAACCATTAGAAAGTGCAGCTCAACACACAGAAGCCCTCAAAGGCAACCAGACTTAAGGCTTAAGGAGCTCTGCAGCTCTTGATAGGTAGCTTTGTCGCCGAAGGCTGTGTAGATCATGCTGCTCCTGACACTGAGCATCACAGGTGCTCACACAGGCTTGTGACCCATTCTTGCTTATTGTAACATAATAGCAAGAACGATGTGTCTAACAGCTTGCTAAGAGCCTCCTGCTATGCTTAAGTGCTGCATTTTTAAGTCCTATGTTCTTGGTGAAAATGAGTCCTGTAATAAAGATATGCATTTCATCCGTACATCTACAGCTCAAATCCAGAAGCAGTTTCCTTGGCTCTGAATTTGAATCACCAGCATTAAAGTTTGAGCAAAACTTTCATAAAGGACTGTCACCATATAACAAGAGCAGTAATTGTGTTCTTATATTTGTAAGAAATTACAGGGGATGAGGGCAACACTATCCCCACGGTGGAAGGCCTCCACAGTGAATGCTGATTCTTGCAAATCCCAGTGCTGGAACTGCAAGTTTTTACTAAGCAGAGGACATGATGCAAGAGCAAGTACTGATGTGAGCACATCTGTCACAAGTGGGTGTTTTCAATGGGAAGAAGAGGAACCTGAGTCTGCCGCTAACAGAGCTTTTCAGTGTCTGATACCTATTTATAAAGTATTAATATTTAATTGTTCACAGCTACTTTAGAGTTGTTTTTAAGAATTTTGAGTGCAACGAAACTGACAATGAAGGGACAGTAGTAAAAAAAAATCACAGAATGTGGCTTTGTAAGCAACAAAAGCTAACCATTCAGAGTAAGGTAAATTATTTTGTTATTGTCACATATTAAGAAAGAATCACCCAGAACGTAAATGGCCCTCAGAAGGACTGTCTGCTCTCTTGCACATAAAGTGTTCTTTAACGTTTGACCAGCCTTTCTGTAAAGCACTGCATACAACCCTCTACAGACCCGCTACCATCCCGTGTTGCAGATATTTGTTCATATATTTATTTCTAGCATCATTCATATTTCATTTATGTTTCTATTGCCTGAAACAAAATCTGGACACATAACAGATGCCCAAGAAATGCTCAAGGGAAGAATTCAATTAAATGAAAAATTTGCAGTTCTGATATGTATTTTGGTCTTACAAAACTGGCTCTCTTCTGAAGCAGGACAGAAGCTCATGTCCTAGACCATAAATGGATGTGCTTCCCTTCATTAATTCAGTAAGTTTTTATTGACGAGGTACCAAACAAAATATTAAATGACAGGACTACAATGGTGAGTGCTCTAGTATGGCCCAGTGGTTACTTAACTCTACACACTCCCATGTAAATTCTGATGCTGGCATCTATTTGAGATGCCATCTTTGTTCCTAATGCCCAATATCTTCTTCAACCCACATCACCTTTTTTCTTAAACATGACAAAATATCAATTGTCTATTTTTAAATGAACTAGTTTACAATTAAAACAACACACTTATAAACACCACTGATGCCACATAGCAAATGAACTTTTTTATTTTCCTTGTGAATGAAATTATAGCATGATTCTCTTTAGAGTAAAGCAGTGGCTGCCTGCCTCTTTGTAGGCAAGAATAGCTACACCCAGAAAGGCAAAAATGGCGGGCAGTTAGTTATCCAAGGACTTTGAAGTCTTATTCCTAATTATTCACATGTGGCTGTCACCATTCACACCACAGACAACTCAGAATCTCCCTACACCCTCACCCCAACCCCTCTATTTGGTGCCAGGATTGAAGCACAAAAAAGTAATACGAAACCAAAGATATATAGACTCTATTCTGTCCTTTAAGAATAGCTTATTCTGGCACTGGTATGGTGGCTCAGAGGGTAAACGCTCTTGCTGCCAAGGCTGAGGACCTGAGCTCAGACTCTGGGACCCATGTGGTAGGAGGGAACAGACTCTTGTAAATTGTCCTTTGAACTTCATACTTGATTCCTGGAATGGGAGTTCACACTCATATTGGGCAAACACACATATAAATAAAATAATAAAAAAAATCAAGCTTACTGCCATTGCTCATTGACCTTAAAATATATGCATAGAACACACTAAATATTATTAAGAATGAGCACAGAGGCATATTTGCTACATCTAAGGAGACACTCAATCTTTGTCTTATACAGACCCATGCAGGACAGACTGTCTTCTTCCAGCAGGTCACCCAGGAGGAAACACACAGCTTGTCATAAGAGACATCACTGCAAAAGGCACTGGGTAGGTCAACCAGGGCTGGCATGGACCTGGATTCTGTTGGGTCACTTAGAGTTTCTATGGTTTGGGGAAGGATGTTGCAGCTTGCTAAGAAGAGAGATCACATGATCAGAGGCAGAGCTAGGTCATGAAAAGGGCTCTGATTTATATGAGAAGCCCTGAGATAGGCTGATCTGTTAAAAATGATCATCTGGTAACTGAGGTTGCCAAGTTTACTCCAGGGAGCAAGAGCCCCAGGCTCCTTTAACTTGAAACCTTCAGGATTCTCAGTGCCACTTGGAGGAAGCCTACACTTCCTTATCCCTCTCTCCACCTCCCCCCACCTCTTCTTTCCTTCCTTCTCTCTCTTCTCTTCTCTTCTCTTCTCTTCTCTTCTCTTCTCTTCTCTTCTCTTCTCTTCTCTTCTCTTCTCTTCTCTTCTTCCCTCCCCTCCCCTCCCCTCCCTTCCCTTCTTCTCTTCTCTTTTTTTGAAGGTTAAGAGGACTAACTAGGTCTAAGCCAAAGCTGTAGTCTGAGGTCATGGAACTCTGTTTTCTGGCCACAACTGACTCAGACACACACTCAAGCATTTTTCCCACTGAACACATGGGCTTATCACCCCATAGCATGTGCAGCGGTTCAGAATTAAGCTGCACCCTTTAGCCCTTCTCCATATTAAATACCAAATGCCACCCAAGTCCCCATCAGACTTTTTGCTCAGCTCATCTCCCTTCCACAGAAGAAGCCTCTGCATATTCTGTGGGGTGATAAGCCTATGTATTCAGAAAAGAAAAAAAGGCTTGAGTGTGTGTCTTTCCTGGTTGTGGAGAGAAAACATCACCTAGGTTCTAGCTCATCCCACAGCATCTGATCCCAGTGGTCATTCCCAACCATTCTGGCCACTTTGTGTTATTTTCAGCCTCAGTGGTTTCTCTTTGTATTTCTCTAGTTTTCACAAAAGAGCAAATGTAACTGTAAAACATGTAGTTTTGTTTCAATATCAACTACTCACCTAGTTTCTTAACTTCCTCAACTAGCTTTGAGTGGATGTTTGAGATTCCTGTTGTAATCTTAGGTAGGACTACTTAAGTCACATGAATTCTGCTTCTGCAAGACAAAACTGGCCTCAATTTACATAATCCTGGGGAATTTACACATTAGTGGGAACTGAATGATTTGCATCCAGTTAGGTCTCATGCTAAGGAGAATGGTATCCAAAGTAGAGCGTGCATTAGACACAGGCAAGTCCTGTACTGTTAGCTAAGTCATCCTGACAGCATGACTCTGCCTGACTGCAAAGAGTTCCCTCAAAGGATACCTTTCTCCTGCCTTAACCATATGTGCCCCTCAGGCCACCTGGGCACAGGCTTTTCTGGAGGTTCTGATGACACTGTGTCTCGCACAGCTGGCTAGACCAGCCTTTGTCATACTCACCCTCCCAGCTGCGGCACAGTGAGTGACCTCCAGGATGAACACTGTACAGTGTGCAGTGTCCTGCACTGTGGGATCTTCTGGATGTTGGTCTTATAGAACTGCATCTCTGCAGAACAGTGGCTGTGTGACAGAGCTATATTTTCAGGGTTATTTTCACTCAGCACACCATCAGAGCAGCACCCTGTGGGAGACACTCAGACTCATACTGCAGCTGACTGTGTGTCCAGGTAAGATGAGCAGAAGTAGGGAGGAATCACCCTATTCCTCTCCATTCCTCCCTTCCTGCATACAGACTTGTCCTTGTGGCTTGCTCCTGGCAACTGATAAGTGATTGTATGTCAGACTGTTGTCCTGAATCCCATTCTGCCGAAGTTCCTGCTACATCATTCTGTCTCCAGAGCCTCGGTTACACTGAAGTTTCAAACACAAGGTCATCAGCATCATTGTCTACATTCAGAAATATGTGTATTTGTAGATAAATACTTTTATCTACACCAAGCCACAAGGAAACTCCCCAAGATTGTTACCTTTAATTTGGGATAAAAGGAATTTTAGAAATTAATCAACCAAACATAGACAGGC